GGTATTTCTTAACTAACAGGAATATTACAGGATTATTTTGTAAGGAGGAGGGACACCCTGAATGGGATGCCAGTCCATCACATACACACACAAACGGCAATTTAGAGATGATGATTTACCAACATGCATTCTTTTGGCTTGCAGGAGTACCTGAAGAAAACTCACATGACACACAGAGGAACTCCATACACACAGAGTGGGGCGTGGAATCAAACTCCCAACCGGAAGCCCCCAACCCCCCCCCGCCCCCAAAAAAAAAAGAAAAAAAAATCCACCTGGTCAATTGATGTGACCCCCTTCCACAAATAGACTCAAATGATTGGCTAGAATCCAGCCTGAAATCTAAGATTTTTTTGTAAAAATATTTCGGAGGTATTATAATATGGGCAACTTATAACATTAATGCCTGAACTTTCTTTAGTGACAGAATGAGTTTGTTGAGGAGAGGAGTGTCCTGACCTATCCTAACTAATTCATCATCATTTCCAATCACCTGTTGGGTTGGACTTGAGTTCCACATTGTAGTCACCAACTATTTCATTGAAATATTGACAGCACTGTTTCATTGTAGTTTCGGTTTTGTTCATTTGTTCAGTCCTGTTTAACCATTCTAGCTGGTTTCTTCAGTGAGAGGAATTGTCTGTTAATAGCAATTCCCTAATGTTTTTGACCCCTACTGTTCCCGGTGTGTTTGCTACCCCATTTTTGTGATATTAGGAGTATTTCTCTTGGCCAGTGAGTGTGCGACCTGACCCCAATCCCAGTGCGAGTGTGAGTCACACTTTTCCCATTTCTGCACCTGCCTTACCTCCAGGACAGACCTTCTGGCTTCCTGACCTCCACTTTCATCCCTGACCTCCACTCTTGCTTTTCAGTTTGCTCTGCTTGTGGGTCCCTTGCTGTAGAGGATTCTTGTTATGTCACCATTAAACCAATTTTATTTGCTTTAAAAAAATCATTCAATGTATGCAATGAGAAAGAGTTCATTACTTATCAGTTGGTTGTAAATATTAATGCCGATTTTATTAGGTTCTCCTGGCTAATAACAGGTAGGATGCTTCTAGAATAGCTTCAGAAATACCATGTATAGCCTAACATAAGTGGACACCAGCTTGTCCAACATCTCGTTTCATAACCAAGGGTATTAACATGAAGTTGGTCAGCCTACCCTCCTGAGACCCAAGGAAAATAGTGTCCTTCAATTTTAGGTTATTTGTCTTTGGAGGAAAAGACATCTTACAATTTAGATTTTTTTCAAATTTATTTTTATTTTTAATTTCACAGCATGTCCTCTTTAGTGTACAACAGGAATAAATATGTTTCCTAACATCAGTGAACAGATAGGTGCAAAAACAAAATGTCCATTACAATGGACATAAATGAATGGGTGGGGTCTCAGGAGGATATTGTTGCTATAATAGCCTCTACTTTTCTGTGAAGGCTCTCCATTATATGTTAGAACATTTACTGCCATTCAGGTTGGATCTTGATGTTGGGTTATCAGGAGTTGACCAGGACTGCCCCAGCATAGCATAAATGCGGCAAACTGCCTTCTTAGAAAGATGGCGTCCTATAATGGTGCCACCCACTCTGCTGGTTAGTGTTTGTTTCCAGATATTGCATGACTGTGTTCTTAATCATACACCCATGTCAGCAGTGTGTGTGGCTTAATTAGCCAATTCCTATAATTAACAGAGTTGTGCACATACTTTTGGAAATATAGATGTAAATGAATTATGCATTCAGAACAGCCTTTCTGCACATCACAGAAGTACTGAGCTGTTGTTTTACAACTTGTTCCTTCCAAAGGTTCATTTTGGCATCATTCTCTGTAAGCTCTAGACACTGTTTAATTCAAGGAAGAGGGCTCTTTCTGAGAAACTGGAACCAGTGACAGTGGAACCAGTGCACCCATATAATTCAGTGTTTAGATGAAATTGTTTCTGTTAACAAGCAGGTGTATCTAATAAAAAACTGATTTACAGTATACGGCCCTGGCTTTTGAAACAAATTTAGTATAGTTTTTAGGAGTTGGGATAAAAATGCGCTTTAATTTAGTCCCCTCCCCTGAAAGTGGGCTCATTTGGTTCTGGTTGGCTGCTGCTCCTTGGCCTGAGTTTCAACCAACATATCTATAGTGTTCAATTGGTGTTTGTTTGCAAAGAGTGTCTTGTGTGTATGTATGTGTGTGTGTGTGTGTGTGTGTGTGTGGATTATGTTTATATTACACTGTGGGGACCAAATGTTCCCCACAATGTGATAAAAACCTGTTATTTTGATGTTGGTGGGACCATTTTTCTGGTCCCCACAAAGAGATTCATAAGTCTCATATTTTGTTTGGTTACTTATGGTTAAGGTTAGGGCTGGGTAGGGGTTAAGGTCATCATGTTGAGATTAGAGTTTTTTCCATACAAGTGAATGGAGAGTCCCCACAAATATATATTTACATACCTGTGTGCGTGTGTGTGTGTGTGTGTGTGTGTGTGCTAAAATGTCCCCAAAATGTGGTAAAACCTGAAACTGCCTTACTTATGAGGAAATTTTTCAGGTCCCCATTTCAATAACCTCAATTTTATTAAAATCTGTGAATGCATTCAAGAAGTAAAAATGCCAAAAGTATGGTCAGCCCTCGTGCAGTCGCGTGTCATGATTCACAAATTCACAGATCCACGAAAATTTCATTGGAACCAAACTTATTTGTATCCGCGATTTTTTCGCACATCTGCGAAATCCTCGAAGAACCCTACAGAAGTGTTTACGTTTAATTTTTGTAGTCATTTATAAGTTTTCATGCTTTTAAGTGTAAAATTGGTAAGAAAAATTTAGTTAATGAAGATTCTACTGTGTTTTTGGGGGAAAGTTCAAGACATACAATACAAATCAGTTTTAAAATCCCTTAAAAAACATGGCTTTCTTATGGAAACGTTCCTTTTTATGTACATACTGTACTTTTACCTTTACAAGATGTGAATCCCATTCACAAAGTTTATTCCCTTTGGAACGCTAATGGTTACATAAATATTAGAAAATAGTTAATTTACTATTTTGTAATAGTAAATACATGTTAACGTAAATTCAATGTACAAAAATCATACATTTCTTGAAAGGTGCTAATGTTTACATACATAGCAAATGATTCCCCGTGTTCCCTCTCAAGACGCATTTGCTATAAACACTGAAAGGGTTAGAAGTAGCCAATCACAGAGCATAGTTACCAGCTTTCCACCCTGCTGATTGGCTGGTAGCTCGGACGCTTTGTGTACTGTACTACATGCGTAAAATCGCGGTTCATCTTCCCGCATCTCAATTGTCCGAAGTCTGACTGCATTTTATTTGGTCATTTTTGGTTATGGTTAGGGCTAGGTAGGGGTTAAGGGTGTCGTGATTGGGATTAAGGTTTTTCCTGTAGAAATTAATGGAAGGTCTTCCTTTAGATAGGCATGGTAATGTGTGTGTGTGTGTGTCTGTGTGTGTGTGTTTGTATGTGTGTGTGAGCAGAGCCTGGCCTGCCACTTGATTTTCTAGTTGTATGTAAGCCCTCCCGTTGCCACCCCAAAAACAGCTGCAGTTTGTGATTATTCATAAAAATGCATGACAATTGGAGCAGGCCCTCTGTCTCAGTCCTCACTGATTGCATATAACTGCAGCATCAAGAGTTCCATTGGCTAATTGACTTGTTGATAAGATTAGAAGGTCAAATAATGACAGGTTCTCATACAGATAAAATGAGAGGCCGATGCTGGTAGGGAGCCTAAGACTTATGGCTGTCACAGCTGCTGCTGTTACCATCAGGGCACATAGACACACATACAAACACACGGCGGACATGTGTAACTGTATATATGCCCGTCTTCACACCGAGCGACAATGCCGGTGACGCGATAACCAAACAGAGCATGGTGGTCACCCGTGAGGCAGCCTACACCGCTCTGCGTTCCCAGGGGGCCCAGGGAACATAGCGTCCTCCTCCGGCGTCTCCCGCTTGCTATACCTCCGTGATTCCTGACTCTTCGGCTGAGTTTCAGGTTCTGTCCAGAGTGTGGAAGGGGGCTTAAGTGATCCCTGCTCTTGCATACCACCCCCCACGCCCCCCACCCCCCCCGCTATATCTTACCCCCCTTGGCCCTGCCACTCTCTTTGTATCTCTCCATAAAGCCTGCGAGGGATCCTGTCAATTCTACTCAGTCACTGAATGGTCGAGTACTTTGAATTTGTACTGTTTAACCCCATCTGTTGCTTAATGGGTCCTCTTATTCTCCGTAAGTGTGCCACTTATTACTTTTATGACAGTTTTACATAGCATATATATTAGTTTCAGTCTGCTAGCAGCAGCAGACATATCAGTAACGATCTGTCCTGAGGTGTGGACCTTAGTTTGCTTGGGTCGGCAGAGTGATTTCAGTTTTGGGGCTGCAAGTAAGGCCCTTAAGCCCCAGTTGCTACAGGCACTGGCTGATCTTGCCTTGTCAGTTGTATGTCGCGTTGGATAAAAACATCTTCTAAATAACTTTCTATACTTATATTTCATGGATTTATTTTAACTGTTATTTTCATATAACTGTTGCATGTAAGTAGCTTAAAATAGTAAATCATAGTAGTAGTACGTAGTAAATCATTCCACTCAACCCCATGTCATTGTGTTAGCATAACACTTATGTGTAGATACTGCATTAAGGCTTCATTAACATTCTCCTCCTCTCTCTGCATAAAACAGTTGAGCCATCAGTCAATGGCCTCCCATTACTCACTCAGCTCACCTCACTGCCCCTTCCCTCCCACCCCATTCTCCTGACCATGCATGTTCCAAAAACAGACTGCCTTTCCAATTTACTCCGACCCCCTCAACAGTTGTTGCCGAATTCCACCAACTCATTCCTCTTTTCTGCGGCAAAACTCCGCCCCCGGCTCCATGTGGAGCTTCCCTGACCAATAGCAGCAGCCCTGAGGCTGTGTCTTCACCAAAGCGGTGCCTTGTGGACATATAAAACTCAAACTAAGTCACTGTCATCTTGTACTTTCTGTCAGTACGGCACTTCTGCTAGAAGGAGGGAGAGATTAGTCAGAGGAGAGAGTGAGCGAGAGAGAGCAAAAAGGGGCTTTCTTCCGTCCCAGTCCCACATTTTTAAAGGGGAGTGGAGGGCAGAAGTTGGAAAGAACGCAAATAGGACTTGGATAGATTTAGACTTTGCTCTTTTCTTTGAGTTCCCTTCACCTTTCTGTTTAGAAAGATGGAGAATTCTCACACAAAGAGCCCCTCTGAGTGCCTGGCCTATTTTGGGGTCAATGAAACCTCGGGCTTAACTCCTGACCAGTTCAAGAAGAACTTGACTAAATATGGCTACAACGGTGAGAGAAGTGAAGGAACTGGATGGGGAAAGAGATTGTGAATGGGATTTGAGCAGAGTACTGGGAGATGGGTGTCAATTAAAGAGGGTGCACTAGGGAATTCAGAGAGACTAGTGCATCTGCAGGTAGCCAGAAAGGAAGGAAATCTCTAGAATGATGTTTATTACTTAGGTAGTATTCACAGTAATAGTAGAGAAAGGAACCATAAACTTGTAGAGTAGTGAGTGGGCAATGCATTTAATTTCCTTTGGTCAATGTTCAGCTTTGGATATTGTTTAAGAGGATGTTGAGTGTATCCAGCAGTCCAACACAGCTGCATGACATTGTATTGGCCTGTGGTTCACAGTGATGTGTGCAGTGGCGGTGCTTTGGACACTCTTTCTGATGCGTTCTGTGGATTTACAATGTCTGGCTACTGGCAGTTTGCAGGTAGAAGAGAATAAAGGTTGTGGAAGGGACCTGAGTGACTGGAGGAATAGGACAGAGTGTGACAAAGAGGGTGATGCATGGGGGTAGGGAGACTATGCTCTGAATCTGTGGAACAGGAAACCTCAGGGAACCTGAAGAGGTTCTGACTGTATTTAGAGGAAATAACTTTGTGAGCCATACTTTATGTTACATTTTTGTTTAACTGATGCTCATTGGGTAACTTTATGATTGTTCAATGAAGATGAATTTAACTCTGAAATGCTGTAATTCGTATTGTGGAGCAAATAGCACAGAGTACAACAAAAACTCTTGAGATATTCCTGTTTGGGAAATATACAAGTAGTATGTACAATAATATAACGCTTGCTGTTTTATATGTTTTGTCACAGAATTGTCTTTTATGTTGTAAATAAGATCAGTACAATAGTCTAGTATTAACTATTGAGTAACTGAAGTGACTGAGTCTACTAATGTATTTTATAATTCTCTCTCTTACATCCACTTAAATCTGTTTACAGAGCTGCCAGCTGAGGAAGGTAAGATAGATTTTTTTCTTCAATATCGAAGCTTAGAAGATGCATAGATATTTCCTCTATTCTTCTTAGGAGATGCATAGATATTCCTCTATTCTTCTGATTTCATTATAATTGTGTTTTTTGCTCTTTCATCTGCATCCACAATGTGCAATAATTGCACTAATTACACATTATATATAATTATTTAGGTAACATGTCATTTCACAGTTGCAGTAGTACTATTTAGTTTGGTTTTGTCTCTATCAGTAACTAGATTTTATGTGATGTAATAAACTAATATAATTTGATTTACCAGAAAACTGTAGTGAACTAAATACCTATCGCACCACCTTTCCCTGTCACAGGAAAGAGTATCTGGGAGTTGGTTATTGAGCAGTTTGAGGATTTGCTGGTCAGAATTTTACTGCTGGCTGCCTGCATTTCGTTTGTGAGTAAAACCAATCTATTTATTTTTTTCGCTTGCTGGTATTATCACCAGAGCTGAAACAAAGGCAAGTTTGAAACTTAATACACATAAAATTCAACTGTTAACAAAAATAATGTTTATCTGGATGTTTCTATCCATTCCCCAAATAACTCTTGAAATGCTTTATTGAGCTTTGGAAACACATTATTGACGACGCAATCAATCGAACAATACCAATTGCAAGTTGGCCAGTTACTGAGCTGATAAAAGGTTTAAATCTCAAACCAGGGGTCACAGGTCTGAACGTTTTGATAAGTAAACTGATCCCAACTAGCCCTGGCCCTCCACTACCTTTGATCTCTGTCCAAGTGTCTGCAATTTTGGCTCAACGTGAGTTTCCATGTGCTGTCTCAGTGCTGCTCAGGGAACATCACTGGGATGAGTGGTGATCCTAATAGTGTGTCATCAGAGCTGACGTGACTTCTTGAGGGGCCCATCCAAAACCTGCTGGAGTCACATTAGATCCAGGCTACATGATGCCTCTGACGTGTTTATTGATTTGAGAGTAAACAACAGCTTTGGCACAGGGTTTTCTTGGCAGAAATCTAATCTGGCTACAGACAGCAGTTGCTTGAAAGAGGAAGTCAGCTCTCCCCGAAATACTTGGCTGTGGAAACGTTACATCAAGGAAGTCTGATGTTCACAGCAACCAAACCTTGTTGTATGGAGATGTATTCAACGATATAAAATGCTTTTGTATGCTATGTATATCTGAAACAATGTTGTACAGTATTTTGAAAATGGAAATGAACATTTGCTTCCCTCTGTTGTCATGCTATGAGTTTTACTTCAGAGAGGAGGACTGAAGGTTGAAAATGGTGGACATTAATTCCTACCTTGACCCTTCTGTCCTGATACAGCTGTCATTATGGCCTTAGAAGGAGAGAATTGAGGAGAGAGAAAGAGAGAGGGGTAGAGGGGGAATGGGTTTATTTTAAGAAAGTCTCAAGCCAGGGAGAGAAACTGTATCCTTCAGGAAAGGTCAGGGATGGAGGGATTGAGGGACTGGCAGCAAAAAAGGTAAAGAACGTAACGAGAGCACTGGGCTTGGAGATATAGATAGGGTTAATCCTAAATAGCAGAAGTACTCAAAACAGTTACAGTTACATAGGATGGCGAGATGATATGGTTATGAAAGGCCAATATAAAGCCTTCAGATTAAAGACATTTTTATTGGACCATTGAATATTGTTTTTAATTAATCAAAAAATTCAAAAACTGATGGATCTTTGTATCAGACAGAGGAAAGAAGAGCAGAGAATCAGGGAGCCTGGAAAATGTATCATATTTTTTGTCATAATCCCCAGAGTGTCCCTTACAAAATCTCGTAAATATAATCATAATCTGACAGACAAGGTTCTACACACACATATATTGAGGGTATATGCTGGGGTTAAGACTTGCCAGGTTTAATAACCACAATGTCCTCCTGGTCATCTTCTTATCAATTACACCTGAATAGATTGTGCCTCATGCCTTTTCCAAACTGTCTTTCCCTTGGTCAGGTGCTGGCCTGGTTTGAGGAAGGTGAAGAGACCGTCACTGCGTTTGTGGAGCCCTTCGTCATCCTACTCATCCTCATCGCCAATGCCGTGGTTGGAGTTTGGCAGGTCAGTGGCATGGGACAGTGCTGGTTAAAGAGCAAAGGTTAAGGGGCACATGGTACTTTCTGACAGGAGTAATTGCAGTGTGCTGGACATGGCACAGTGTTTAAAAGGTCGAACATGGTTAACTCAAAGCAGATGAGGAGTCACTGTTAATCTAGACTAAATTGCAGTATAAACTTAGAGTTTAAGCACAACACGATAATTAGAAAGGACAAGTGATGCAAACCAATTAACAGAGCATTCAGAAGCTCATTGTTCGCAAGTAAAAACACAGAAATAGGAAAAGAATTTTTGTCTGCAGGAGCGTAATGCAGAAAGTGCCATTGAGGCTCTGAAAGAGTATGAGCCGGAAATGGGGAAGGTGTACCGCGCAGACAGGAAGAGCGTCCAGAGGATCAAGGCCAGGGAGATTGTCCCCGGGGACATCGTGGAAGTGTCCGGTGAGGCACCTTATCTGCCACCGTTTTTTACCATCAATTACCTCCTATCTGTCCTTCAAGATCTCCTTAAAAACATACCATATTAATTATTAATTTTCTCTTGCCCCTGAATATTAACGTTCAAGTCATTAAAAAGACACTGTTAAGCAGCTCTGATTAGTTCATTGGTGTTGGCCAGGAGACAATACAGGGTAACATCAATGGTACAGAGCAGTGAAAAAAAGAGTCTGTCTGAGCTTGTAGAGATGTGAAAGCGGGGGAAAGATTTAGATTGCTGAGTAAACTTGCTGAGAAAAGAAAAGGGAAGCTCTCTCTTTTCCATTCCAACTCCTTTTCTCCTTTGGACACCTGCTATCCATCAAATTTGTTAATTTTCCACTGTCTCTCGCTGCCCCTAGGTACTGCTTAGCTTTATTTCTCACTTTCAGCACCACTCCATCGGAATCAAGCTGTATAAATACCTTTTCATCATGCTTTCATAGAGTTTGCTTTACATTATAATAATCTGAGCATTTTAAGAGTACCATAAAGTAATCTTCAATTATGCATCTTGAAAATCATTTTGAAGCAGTGTTATGATGCTAAGCTTTTACATCATTGCAATATTATCCTATCTAGAGGAAATAGACTAACAACTCTGTCCATGGTTCTCCTAGTTGGAGACAAAGTGCCTGCTGACATCAGGATTACTGCTATCCGTTCTACCACCCTCCGTGTCGATCAGTCCATTCTCACCGGTCAGTCAACCACTTTACTCTTTCTCTATGTTGCTTCTCTAACATTGTCACTGCTTAAAAATGCTTCGAATACTATAATATCCACATTGCAGCTAAACTTTACTTAGCTGTGTAGTCTTTGACTAAATAAAACAAAATGCCTTTACATCTGCCACATTTTCTGTGTATCACGTTCCCCATGGCTCTCCATTAGGTGAGTCTGTCAGTGTGATCAAGCACACTGATGTCGTTCCTGACCCCAGAGCTGTGAACCAGGACAAGAAGAACATGCTGTTCTCCGTGAGCATCTCCCTGCTTTTCTTTATTGGCCTTACATTTGTACCGATGGTCTCCTTAAGACAACACCTCTTTACAGTGTCATATTTCTATCCCACCACCTCTTCATCTTTCATTTGTATAGTTCTGATCCTGGCCTCTGTTTGTTTAATGTCTTTTTGACTTTCAGGGTACCAACATTGCGGCAGGAAAGGCCATCGGAGTGGCTGTGGCCACAGGTGTCTCCACTGAGATTGGCAAAATCCGTGACCAGATGGCAGCCACCGAGCAGGAGAAGACTCCACTGCAACAGAAGCTGGATGAATTTGGCGAGCAGCTTTCCAAAGTCATTTCCCTCATCTGCGTCGCCGTGTGGTTGATCAATATTGGACACTTCAACGACCCCGTCCACGGCGGTTCATGGATCCGCGGTGCCGTCTACTACTTTAAGATCGCTGTGGCTTTGGCCGTTGCTGCCATCCCTGAAGGTATGGTGCTGTCTGCGAGCTGGAGGGTGCATTTCCATACCCATACCTCCTCGATGCTGGAACACATTCCAGTTGGCTTAAACATGTAAACATTGACATCAAACATAAATTCTAATCCATATAGTTTAATCTAATCTAATCTTATCTATCTATCTATCTATCTATCTATCTATCTATCTATCTATCTATCTATCTATCTATCTATCTATCTATCTATCTATCTATCATTCTAATCACCAAAGGATGTTTTTTATGTCCATCAACAATGCTGCAAAAGTACTCCTCTCATTCTTACAGATTACTCTTCCCTGTTGGCTATCCATATGTATGTGCACACATGTCTTTCTGAACGCAATGTTGGGTTGCTGTTCACTACAGGTCTGCCAGCTGTCATCACCACTTGTCTGGCTCTGGGCACACGCCGCATGGCCAAGAAGAACGCCATCGTCAGGAGCCTGCCATCCGTGGAGACCCTGGGCTGCACTTCCGTCATCTGTTCCGATAAGACCGGCACCCTCACCACCAATCAGATGTGTGTGACCAAGGTGAGCCCGGATTGGCACGAGTATTCAGTCGGTTCATTTTACTGCCAGACTGTAACACATGAGTCATGTGGCACATGAGTCACAGGGAAGCTGAGCAAATGGTCACCATCTGTCTCATTGCAGATGTTCATCATTGATAAAGTGGAAGGTGACAATGTTGTCCTGGAAGATTTCAATATCTCTGGGTCCAAGTATACCCCCGAGGGAGAAGTGTGAGTATTCTATGCATTGGTCTCTCATGTATATACGCAATGATTGTACTATAGTCCCTCTAATTACGACCAAATATTTAGGGGCAATATAGGGACGTCATGATAAGAATGTCAAAATCCATGAAGGTATTGACAGAATTAGTCTACGATAATTTGACTTTCGTGGGCTATTTGTGGTATAATGGACTGATACCCTTATTAACAAAATTCAAATAGCAGTGGTGTGTTCTCCCACCAGTACCAAGGGCAGTGCCCCCGTGAAGTGTGGCCAGTACGACGGCCTTGTGGAGCTGGCCACCATCTGTGCCCTGTGCAATGACTCCTCCCTGGACTACAATGAAGTGAGTATACCTGCCTGCACAGTGATATTAGCAAGAATAGCGAATAAGTATCAAATCTAAGCTTAATGATATTAAATTGATATCAAAATGTCCTTGTTAACACAGAATAGCTTCATTATTCTGGAAATTAAGCACGCCCACTCACCTGAGGCAAATCATTTACAAAAACTGAACACTAGCCTACTGGCTAGTACAAAAGAAATTCAAAAGCATTTTATACTGAACTAGCCCAGTTGGCTAGCAGCAAAAAGAAATCTTATTAAGTTCCTAGGTTACATGGGTACTGTCAGTTCCAGCCAGCTCTTTTTCCTTTAGTGGGTTTTGTGGAAAGACACTGTATTAACGAAATACCAGCACGGGCAGTGATTTCTACACAAGGAGCCTGTACTCTGTCAGGACATATTGGTGTTTCCTAATCTTTTTGAGCATTCCAGACATGCTACCAGATCCTGCAGTAATCTTTCTTTTCTGAGGGTGACAGCAAGAACAATTATCAGGTGTTTGACAGTTTAGTCTTGTGGAGCTTGTCTAATGGACTGCAGGGCAGTGTACTGGCAGCAGACACAGGCTCTTTTAAATACAGTATAAGTCCTTACTTTTCCTAATGCCATCTTTTCCTCTCCTTTTCACTCTTTCCCTTGCTGCACCTTCCCTTTTGCTTTGAAATTCCTTCTCCTTTTCCCACCCAGTCATTCTATCCTGAGTTTTATTAATTTATTTTTGCTCATTAAAATGTGAGCACACCCTGAGCCCTTAAGTGTACTCATATAAATGCACAGGAGTGTGCACACTCACCCATGTATATCTTTGCCATTATGGAAATATTTATGAAATTAAATCATTCCCACAGATCACATGACACGGTTTCTAGTACTGTATTGTTTACAGAACACAATAAAAAATGTGCAAGATACAAATAACACTGAATAAAAATATTACTGTATAATCAATAATCATTAGTAATATTTCAGATTAAACATAAAAACATAAAATCCTAGAATTTTAACCTTTTTCTCCATACTGCAAGAACACTTAGACTCTCCACATGTGCCTTTCCATATTGGTTGCAGGATCGACATACTTTTCTAACCTCTTGGCTTCCTTATCTTGTTCTACTTGTTGCTGCTCCTTCAGCTGCTAAGTTCCCTCTAAATTCCCTCTGAACTTGTCCCCCCCCCCCAGTCTAAGGGTATTTACGAGAAGGTGGGTGAGGCTACAGAGACTGCCCTCTGCTGTCTGGTTGAGAAGATGAACGTGTTCAACACTGAGGTGCGCGGGCTGTCCAAGGTGGAGAGAGCCAACACCTGCTGTACTGTAAGTAACACGATAAACACCTTCAACCATCCGACTGGTGCAGTGTATGGAAGAATTTTGCTAAGTAATGAAAAAGTATGTGCCTGTGTCATAAGTTAAGTTCTAAGCTTCCTACATTGATTCTGCACCAAAGGTGATTAAGCAACTGATGAAGAAGGACTTCACCCTGGAGTTCTCACGTGACAGGAAGTCCATGTCCGTTTATTGCTCGCCAGCCAAATCATCTCGTGTCGCTGTTGGCAACAAGATGTTTGTGAAGGTATATGTTCTTCAACTCAGTGTGCATGTCTGTATAACACATTCATGGGATGAATCTATGGGTAGTGTGAGTGTCTCACTCTTTTTCCTCTCTGGATTTTCAGGCACTGGTATCCTCCCTTTATCCAAATACACCCTGTTCAGATTAATTTGTGACATTAAATTGCTTTGTTATGTGTGGACATGTTGGATTGATCTGTGTTTTTAGTGAAGGCTCTGGACAATGTTGCTAAAAATGGTTTTATTTTTAAGGTAAATATTGCACGGAATGACTAAATAATACATAGTGTGAGTCCAAATGTAAATGAGTAGTTGACAGCACCCCTTAAAACTACTATAACTTACAGAACTCAGTAAGAGCAGATTTGCCCATGCTGAGCATTTTACTGCCTTTGCCTACAGGGAGCCCCAGAGGGAGTCATTGATAGGTGTGCCTATGTGCGTGTTGGCACCACCCGGGTACCCCTGACACCCCCTGTCAAGGATAAAATCATGACTGTAATCAAGGAATGGGGTACTGGTAGGGACACCCTGCGCTGCCTGGCCCTCGCCACCCGTGACACCCCTCTGAAGACGGAGGAGATGAACCTGGAGGACTCAACCAAGTTTGCAGAATATGAGGTACGGGCATGGGAATGGAAGGGGGTCCGGATGGAGAAACACATGACGCAAAACAGAAATTGGGCACCTTCTATTCTGCAACTGTAAGATAAGGTCCTAAAAGCCCGAGGAGGAAAGTGTTGAATATTTGTCAAATTTCTGTTTTTGATGGTTAGAATAGATATATTAGAGTAGCACATTAAAAGCAGATGGGAAACAGTGTGAAACAGAAAAGTACTGCAGATTTTGAACTGTGCTCTCTCTCCCCTCAGACTGACCTGACCTTCGTTGGCTGTGTGGGTATGCTTGATCCTCCACGTAAGGAAGTCACTGGATCTATCGAGCTGTGCGGGGCTGCAGGAATCCGCGTCATCATGATCACTGGTTAGTACGCTTCCGTCCTGTCATCCTATCTCCTCCTTTCACTGCTTTTCTCACTTTTTCTCATCCAGTCCTTCCGTTTTCACTCTACACGTGACAGTGTCTGTTATTTGAACAACTTTTGGTTGTGCCTGTTTGCTCGCCCATGTCCATCTTTCATCGTCTTCAGCTGATACCAGCCTATGCTCTGTCTCTCAGGTGACAACAAGGGGACAGCGGTGGCCATCTGCCGTCGCATTGGCATCTTCGGTGAGGATGAGGACGTCACTGGTCGGGCCTTTACTGGACGTGAGTTTGATGACCTTCCCACATCCGAGCAGAAGGAGGCAGTCCGCCGGGCATGCTGCTTTGCCCGTGTGGAGCCCGCTCACAAAAGCAAGATCGTGGAGTACCTGCAGAGCTACGATGAGATCACTGCCATGGTGAGGGAGGGGCCACTTTCCTCCCATTAGGCAGTCTGCTCACTACCACCCCCTCCTGCATAACTTTAACTCCTTCTCTTCTTCCTTCCAGACTGGTGATGGCGTAAACGACGCCCCTGCCCTGAAAAAGGCTGAGATTGGAATTGCCATGGGCTCTGGCACAGCTGTTGCCAAGTCTGCATCAGAGATGGTCCTAGCTGACGACAACTTCTCCTCCATCGTGTCGGCCGTGGAGGAGGGTCGTGCCATCTACAACAACATGAAGCAGTTCATCCGCTACCTCATCTCCTCAAACGTGGGCGAAGTTGTCTGGTGAGCTGAGTTTCCTTCAGTGTGCTAACACGCTCCCCTGGATGGTGTCCGTTGCCATCATAACCCCTTCTCCTCTCCCTGTGCCTCCAGTATCTTCCTGACAGCGGCTCTGGGCCTGCCTGAGGCTCTGATCCCAGTGCAGCTGCTGTGGGTGAACCTGGTAACGGACGGCCTTCCTGCCACCGCCCTGGGATTCAACCCCCCAGACCTGGACATCATGGGCAAGGCCCCCCGCTCCCCAAAGGAGCCACTTATCTCTGGCTGGCTCTTCTTCAGATACCTGGCCATCGGCGGTATGTGTGTGCCATTGAATCCTCTTGGCTGACTCAGTTGGCCGTGGAGTCCGATTTGAGTCCATTCCTTTCCCGTTTCCCCCTAGGCTATGTGGGCGCAGCCACAGTCGGTGCTGCAGCCTGGTGGTTTTTGTATAGTGAAGATGGTCCCAAGGTCACTTTCTACCAGCTGGTGAGATGTGCACCTTAACTCTATTACTACCCTACTATGCTGCTTTGCTTGAAGAGCACAATTTCAACTGCAGGGATTGACTAGTCATGGAAACTTGACAGATACAACACAAATACGCCAAAGGTAATATAGGCATTCTCTTATTAGCCCTGTATCTCTTTTTCAGTCCCACTTCATGCAGTGCCATGATGAGAATGAAGACTTTGCAGGTGTTGAATGTGAAATCTTTGAGGCTGCCCCACCAATGACCATGGCCCTGTCTGTGTTGGTCACCATCGAGATGTGTAATGCGCTCAACAGGTCAGTCTGCGATTCTTTATTAGCAGAATAAAATGGGTTATATAATAGCAGAGGTAATAAATTAATAAAACAGTTCCCACTGAACAAGGAATACATCTTTGCATTTATACTGTAAGATCTTGCTGTCTGGGAGTCATGTGACCAAACGCTCTCTTTTAGCCTTTCTGAGAATCAGTCACTGCTGCGCATGCCTCCCTGGAGCAATTGCTGGCTGCTGGGTGCCATGACCCTCTCCATGTCCCTCCATTTCCTGATCATCTATGTGGACCCTCTTCCCGTGAGTCTACTTGCTTTGCAACCTTCTCCTCGCTCTCACTCACCACAGCTCTCCATCAAGGCCAGCCCTTAGCTCACTGCATTTCCAGAACACCTTCATCTCTATTTACTCATGCTCTTTTTGTATCCTATTATTCTATGTGCTCTTATGCTATGTTTTTAAAATAATATCCTAACTGTAAACGTGCTATTAGTTGAGTTCTCCCCAGATGAGCTTGTTGGGCCGAACGGCCTTCTCTCGTTTGTAAATGTCTTATGTTTATACCTGGTCTGTTCAGTTTTCCCAGATCGTTTCTCTTGTGTATTGTTTAGGCATCTTGCCACACAGCACATTGTGTAGCTAAGTGTGTTTATGCCCAGTGATGCCATATCAATATGTAATTGTATTGTCTGCCTTTTTCTTTCTCAGATGATCTTCAAGCTGACTCATTTAAATGTCACTCAGTGGATGGTGGTGCTACAGCTGTCCTTCCCAGTTATCTTGATTGATGAGGTGCTCAAGTTCATGGCCCGCAACTACCTGGAACGTAAGTTATAATAGCTGAGTATCAGGTATCTGATTCACATTGGCACATGTCAAAATTACATTTTATTTTTTGACCTCTAGTACCTTCTTGAATTTTTGTGTGGATTTTGGCAGGAACATGTACTGTGAAGTGCCAATTTGTGCAATTTGTGCATTAGATCTATAGCAGAGTTCTGAGCATCAGGATTTGGCTAAATGGCATGAAGGTATTTGCAAAATTAAAAGCATTTTTTGTAGTTAATCAGTTTCAGAGATTATTTCATTCTTTAATATTCCCTTTTTGGTACTGTGACATGTGTATTATGCTGATTAAGTTGAATTTCACCTGTTTTGTTGCATTAATTTGTTAATTTGCTGTCAATCCTGTTAATACATTCCCTTATTTTCCCCAATCCTTTTAAAATGTCACCACTTGATTTCCTAATATTCTGTTCTTAGGTACCCTGCTACCCCTCATTATTTACTCATTCACCACTTCAGCCTCTAATTGTTCCTCCATTCTCTCCCATGATTTTCCTCTCCAAACACTCATTTGCCGTTTTTTTTCCCCTCCAGCCTAATCACATTTCCTTCCCTTCATTTCCCTGTAACAAAGCAAGGTATCCCACAATCCTCTGCATTGGCCCTCGTCTGCACCCCGTGTAATGGCACAGTTTGCTTTGTGTAGTTTAGGTATTAATGTAGAGCTGGTTTGTGTCAAGAGCATGTCTCTGTTTTTATGCAAAAATGTCTGGTTCACTTTCCCAGTGACATAATATCACACATAATAACACAGCTCTTTATCTTTATTCACAATAAATATTTACATAGCCCTATTTACTGGCATATGTTGCTCGATATCGCCATATTTACTGGCATATGTTGCATTACATAGCTTGATTTACTGGCATATGGCATATATTAAATTAATATTCTTATTAACAATTACTGATATTTAGACAATACTAGTGCTACTACTGGCAAATTACCTGATAAATATTACAAGTTAACAACAATAATACTAATAATAACAGTGGCCGGGTATACCAAGGAAAAACCTGATACTGGATTATTGCTTTATTACTGATATCAGCTACTAACAGTTACTAACGACTAACAAATGAAGACATAATCCTATTTGACTACATTCTATGATTTGACTCCACCACAGAGAAAGATGACAATCTAGTGGCGAAAAAGTGGAAATGAAGAAAAAGTGAGGAAGGAGAAAGGGAAGATGACTGAAAGAATGCATCAAGAAATTCAAGGAGCAATATGAAACAACAAAAAATAAGAAAAACAATTCATATGCTGTTTTAATAAGGTTTTCATTCTTAAAATGAGAATAACCTTTTCCACATACTTGAGGCCTTGTTTTAGCAGAACTTTGATTATTCTTTCAATCCTCATTTCTGTTGTTTCTACTGTTTTTAGTTCCTTTCTAAAGTATTTTTCCTCATGTTCTTACACAATTTAATGCCAACTTGTGAAGCTCACACCTTCTGAAGAGGTTACCATAGAGCTTGTCTGTGACTCTGATACACCTCAGTATGAAAAGACTATGTTTTTTTATTTTTATTTTCATCATTTATTTAAATGGACATACATTCAGCTGTGCAGGGCATTAAAATTATACTGGCAGTGGGACTTTTACTCACTTATACACTTTTCAATGCAATAATAATGAAGAAAATAGATTGATACATGGGAAGTGATGAAACTAGATTTTATTTAATTAACAGTAATTAACAGTAATTTATTTAACAGTAAATAAAAGAAATAAATGACAAAAAAAAGTGAAATTTTATTTTACATTTGAATTTAAAATAACACACCTTGTGTATTATACACCTTATATAAATTCTGAGTTATGATCCATGTACATATGGGAAAACTTGTTAAAAAGAGATAGCAAAGTGCATCAATAGGGAAAAACAGTGAGATGTAGCAGGGCCCAGACTGCCACCTATTGGCCCTGTTTGGAAGCTCAGAAATCACCCCTGGTCTCTCCCAGGCACTTTGGTGTCCTCCTGCAGTCCAAAGACCCTAACCTGACATTCCATCTAGGGGGCATCCCCGTCCTTGCGCCCTGTGGAAGATGGATGAAACTTCTATCACTCACTCCTCTGTTAAAATTCAAATATTCATTCATCCATTTTCTATAGTTATTTATCAGGTACAGGATCATGGCGAGCCCAGAGCCTTTGCTAAGGAGCTGAAGGCAGGGGACACCTTGGATGGGACGGCAATCCATTTAGAAATGCACTTTAATAATAGAACTAAATAACTAAGTAAAATTTAGAGACTCCAATTCACCTTTATTGCATCTGAGAGGAAACTGGAACACCATACTATATATTGCATCATCGGAGGCAATTCATTTGTAAATTATACATATATACTGTTTTTAGAAACATTTTTACATTCACACTTTCACGGAAACATTAATTACATTAATGTCTATTCGAAAGCCTGTTGAATGACATTTAGCCTTATAATCATCTCTGGATGTCACATTTGAAACAGAGACTCAGACTGGCGAGTTTCCTGTAATGTGCCTTGTCTGAAATATGTCTGACATATAAGATCTTAGGTTTGCTTCTATATCAAAATTAGTTGGGTGCCTTACTGGTTAAGTGTTATTTACAGAAATAAGTAAAACTAACTAAAACACAAGAAATAAAAATGAACTGAACTGATCTGAGGTGACCAAGCAATGGAAGACGGTTTTGACAGGGCGGAGTCATGCCGTTTCTGACAGCGAACGCTATTGGCGGATGAAGTATGGTTTGTCTACGTTAAAAGTATAATTTCACCCATTCTCATTGCCCCCTTTCCTGTTTCTCCATCAATATAAAACAGATACAGTTACAGAATGCAGCGACACACGTTATTGGGATGCTGAGGCAGGCATTAGGTTCGGCATCTCCAAACGGTAACGTTATCATGTGTTACGAGTTTCCATAGACCATACATAATTTCTACACCTCGTCATGCAACCACTTAAGATGAGTATTACTAACGTAGTTGTAGCATTTTGTATCAAAGCTTTCAGTAGCTATTTTAGTACTGACTTTATCCATTTAGTTTAAGTTAATCATTTAGACAGCATCATTATTAAGATGACTTGTTAAACGATAAACAGACTTACTTTGGATATTATTCAAAATTATAAGAAAGAATTAACAACTAACAATTAACAAACGGTATGACTCCGCCACCAAACTGTCAAAACCTCCCTCCGGCAGAACGCAAGCGCGGAGAGCGGCCGAAGGAAATGCGCTTTGTGCGCGAGCGCAACCATGCCGTTGGGAGCAGAAAAATACATTAGAGAAGGTGATATTATGATGAACGCACACACAGCTCTTCGTCGTGTGCTGGCGAGTTTCACTTTTGCGCTCGCGAGTGGAATATTTACGTGTGTGAGTTTTGACTTTGATGTGACGCCATAGATGGCTAACACTACTGATTACCTAGCTTGCTTGCTTTCTAACTAGATATCTAGCTAGCTAACCAATATTGTTAATTAGTAAGCTACAGCTCTCATCACACTCTGGCAACAGGTACCAAGTACCCCAGCACTGAGAGCAACCAGTTGATAAACCATAACTCTCATAATTCCAGATGAGGACTTCTAAGTCCTGATTGGTCACAAAACACCGACAAACCAAGCTCAAACGTATAAAACACAATTCTCCTGCTATGTTGGTTCACCTTGATAGCAGGGTACATCCACTCCTTTTGCTCAATTTTCCAAAACATGTCTGAACTGCTAGACTCCTACTTGAGATATGGTTATAGATATTGATTATATAGACACTGATTCACTGTAAACACATGGTTAACAGCAACGGGTGGCTCAGTGGGCTAAACTTATGTGCTTGTAATCAGAGGGTTGCCGGTTCGAACCCAGCTTCGGTGGGTACTTGAGCCAGACAGCCCAATGTGCACAGCATTTGTGGCAGTGGTGGCTTAATGGTTAGGGAAGCGCACTCGTAATCGGAAGATTGCAGGTTCAAATCCCAGACCAACAAGACACCAATGAGGTACCCTGAGCAAGGTACCGCCCCCAAGCACTGCTCCCCGGGCGCTGAATTAGCTGCCCCTGCTATGTCACGAAAGTTACATATGGGTTAAATGCAGAGGACACATTTCGTTGTTGTGCACTGTCTGCTGTGGTGTGTCAATAATCATAAATAAACAACATATGATTAATGTGACAAGTATGCTAGTACAAATGTAGAAGTAGAACATATTGCGTATGGTCTACTGCAACTACTTTATAACTACAGCTCTTTGTGCACCAGTTGGGGCAGCCTTGAATCCCTTCCTGCTCCCTTCTCCGCTGTCTGTCTCTCCAAGGTCTGATATCTCTTCAGGGTCTGCAGAACTAACCGCATACAAGCTATCATGAGGCGAGGACACACAGTAATCAAAACAAACAAATCCCTTCTTGCTTAAGGCCTAAGACATAACAGACCCAATATACCTCCTCTCCCGGGCTTACCAAGGTCAAATTTTCTTTACACAATGGCATGCACAATATTAGAAATAAATGGAGACAGCCAGCTTGAATTTACATGCTTTTATTTAACATTGACAATTGTTACAAAAGTGAAGTATGTTCTTCAGGTATCAGCAGAACTTTTTTCCCCCAGAAAAGTTCTCAAAAATTACATGGAAATGGGTGAGCAAAACATTCACAGAGGACAAGAGCAGTGGAGTGGCAGAAGACTTCAGTGCCGAAGGTGCCATCGTTATGGCAGCTCTTCTCTTCTTCACTTTACAGAGTCTATATCATAATCCCCAATACTCTGACGGAAGTACTCCTCATAGAGTGTTTTCTGTCAGAAATGGCAAAACCACATGGTGATTTGTCAATAACAGACCTTAGAACATCCCAACAGCACATACTCCGCTGGCATCTCACAAAATACAAATGCATGAATGGAGCAGGGGATATAAAATATTCTAAAAACAAGTATTATATATGGGTTGGAGATTATGTGCCATTTTTTGGCTACTGGCTAGATTTGTTGCCTTTCATTATAGCAACCAGGAAAGTGAAGTACTACATATACTGGGAGTTTCAGTGAAGTCAATTCAACTTGCAGTTTCCTGAGAAACAGCGGCTAAGCTGCTGTTGGCAGGGAAGTTTCGCTGTAGCATCAGATAGGAGCAACTGAACAAAAGCACACACTCCTTAATCCACAACAATCATGCCCTGCTTTGAGTCTCACGGAAACGCAGGTCAGGAACTGCCAATCAGTTACACAAAAGAAGAAAAATAATGCAAGTAAAATGACCCAGGCAGTGTTTAGTGAGAAAAAGTGGGCATTTTAAATGGAAAATAAATAAATAACTAGGGCTGTCAAAATTAATGGGTTAACGCGGATTAATCCATCATCATGATTAATCTGATTAAAAATTTTAATCGTTTGACAGCACTATAAATAACCAAATGAAAAATAAATAAATAACCAAATGATAGAAAGGTGTCACATCCCTCACATTTGTGGGCTAAGCCTGGTTGAAGCTGCTCTGGCCGCTGATAGTGACTCAACACCCCATTAAGACTCTTTCTTGCAGTTTACTTTAAGCTGGTTTATGGATACTGGAACCAAAGGCAGACACTGAACCACCATGGCATAGCAGGCTACCTTCTTATTTTTCACAGCTTCATCAATGTACTCCAGCTTCTCCTGTAGTTGCCTCTTCTGTCTTCCAGTTAGAGTCAGCTGAGTGCTGGAGAGGCAAAGCATGCAAAACCATTGAGAGAGCAGAAAACAGAGTAGTGTACTTGTGAATGAGGGGGGGAAGGTGGATATGAGTGGGAACTGATGTAGCCAACAGGCTAAACAAACTTTTAGGGCATCCCTGTATAATTACTATTGCTATGTCATTGTAGATTGTGGGTATATGTGCAGAAATGTACAGAAACACACGGATCCAGTAATGTTACCCTTGAAGGAACATTACACAGGGAAATAGAGTTTCCCTGCTGGGCGGGGAATAAGCTGGTTCTCACCGGAAAGCGGAACGTGCCAGGAGAAGAAGAATGAAGGAAAGCAGGACGAGGCTGCTGCAGAAGTAGAACTGCTGCTGGACCGAGAAGCTATCAAGTACCCACAGCACAGGCAGCTGTGTGAAGGAATGTCATTAGGTCATTAGGCATTGTAGCAAATTTCTTTAATGGCCATTTAAATCATTTCACAAACATCCTATATCCAGTTATTTAAATAAAAACACTAAGCAATGAAATAAGAAAAAAAAAACATTAAGAAAAGGGAAAATAGTAAATATACAGTACCAGTCAAAAGATTGTGTACGCCTGTTTGAAAGCATAGTCACCCATGCTTTGAACCTCATATTCATATCCATTTACAGGTGTGGATGTCAATCCTATGGACCAAGTCAAAATGTGGAATATTTGGGCCCAGCCATTGTCTTTGAAAGATGCAAAGAAGGGGAGAACTTGTATGGTTCCTACTGTCAAGTATGAAGGAGGCAGCATCAGGGTCTGGACTCGTTTTGCTGATCAGGACAATCTCATCCAGCAGCGCCATCACAGCACGCTTCAGAGGCCATGTCATTACCTTTAGCATTATGACTATGGAATTCATCAGCAATATAACCCAATACACACCTCAAAACTGAGGAAGTAGTATCTGACACAGAAGGAACGTGAAGGGCAGATCAAGCTAGTGACCAGGCCTGGACAGAACAGCTGAAACAAGTCAGAAGCATCATACATCTATTGGAATATATGATAGAAAACGGTAAATGCAGTGAAACTTTTGACTAGTGTGACAAGCTTAGCTTAACTCACTTTAACTCAAAGGCATACTTCTGTAATATATTGTGGATTGTCTTTTATGCCCCACCCAAAGACTTTCTCCAATCCAGTCAGAAAAGCCCAAAACAATAATTAAAGTTTTCGGGAAATCACAGCTAGGAATAATTTTAATTCATTGCTCCTGAGAAATCAATGATCTCCCATTTTGTTTAGAAACAGCACCCCACTGGTATTTGGGCTGTCTGTGATATTTAGTCTCCCCCATTTGGGTGCAATAAGACCATAAAAACTGATACTACAATTTCAGTTGGTATTCCCAAAACTAACTTAAAGAATTTTCCAGCACAAAAATGGACCAGGGTGAAGATTTATTTTTAAAATTAACCACATAAACCCTGCTGCTAGGGCCCGAAAATGCACTTTCTAATCTTACAGCCATAACAGCAAACACCAGTTTAGTTTAACTGCAATGGATCTTAAATGTTTAGGAATGAAAAGCTCAGCCACCATACATGCAAGCGTTAGAGCAGGGCAGCCAATCTTACTCAGAAAGAGCTGCTGGGTTTCAGAATTTTCGCTGCAGTTCCCTAATTATATAACTAATTAAAGGACTGATTGGCCGAAGAGTCCTTACACCTGGGTTTGAACAGCTGACGTAAAGGTTATCCCAAAAACCTGCATACACACCGGCCCTTTGCGGATGAGATTGCCCACCCCTGCATTAGAGGGACCCGGACCTACCAGGTACATGCTGAGAGCTTCTGTTCCCTCCTTGCCCAAAGTCAGTTCCACAGTCTCCCTGGACAGGCTGCCCAGCAGCAGTAACATCAGCAATGATAGTGGCACAGAGAATCCCATCAGGCCGAGCAGGCAGCCCTTACACTGTGCACGCCACTTTTCTCGGCTGCGCTTCCTTGAGAAAAATGAAGGACGGTTATGATGTTTCATTGTGTATTTCAATTCAGATCTATTCACTCACATTTTGTTTGTAATTTACTACAACTCCATACCATTATTATATTGTCATTGCCGTCCTACATGTCTCCACTGGAATGCCATTTACACAGCTGTTCTACAAAGCACAATGCCACTTTAAATCTTAAATTATGTGAGTACATATTTTTCATTTGTAGTACAAACTGTACATACTTTTTGTACATACTGCTTATTTGTTATTCATGTATCTTTCCATTCCATTCTATGCCACTTATCCGGGGTCGGGTCATGGGGGGCAGAAGTCGAAGCAGGGATGCCCAGACCGCACTTTTGCCAGCCACCTCCTCCAGCTCCTCCGGGGGAATACCAAGGCCGAGAGATATTATCTCTCCAGCGTTTCCTGGGTCTGCCCTGGGACCTCCTCCCAGTTGGACATGCCTGAAACACCTCCCCAGGGAGCTGTCCAGGAGGCATCCTAGATAGATATCAAACCACCTCAACTGGATCCTGTCGATGTGGAGGAGCAGCAGCTCTACTTTGAGCCCCTCCTGAATGTCTGAGCTCCTCACCCTGTCTCTAAGGCAGAGCCCTGACACCCTGTGGAGGAAACTCATTTCTGCCGCATGTATTCGCGATCTCTTTCATTCGGTCACTACCCAGAGCTCATGACCATTGGTGAGGGTAGGAATGTAGATTGACTGGTAAATGGAAAACTTCGCTTTCCAGCTCAGTTCTCTCTTTGCCACAACAGAACAGTACAGAGTCCATGTTACTGCTGATGCTACACTGATCCACCTGTTTATCTCCCGTTCCCTTCTTCCCTCACTCTTGAAGAAGACCCCGAGATACTTAAACTCCTCCACTTCAGGCAGTAATCCATCTCTCACCAGGAGAGGGCAATCCACCCTTTTCCGGTTGAGACCCACCACCACCACCCCAGTCTGCCAATCCAAAGGCACTGTCCCCAGCGCCTACACAATGTTGAAGAGGCTTGTCAGCCAGGACAGAACAACAACATCAGGAGCTTTCAAGAACTCATCCACCTCCACAGCCTTACCACCAGAGAGTTTTTGGTATGTGAAAGTCCCCCTTTTTCCAGTTCTGCTTCCTCCAAGGAAGGCGCATCAGTGGGATTCAGGAGATCCTCAAATTATTCCTTCCACTGCCTGACTATATGCCCAGTTGAGGTAAACTTTTCTCCATCCCCACTGTAAACAGCATGGGTAAAGCCCTGCTTCCTACTCCCCCACCCCGTCAAGTCACCTGACGGTTTGCCAGAACCTTTTCGAGGCTGTCCGAAAGTCCTTTTCCATAGCCTCACCAAATTCCTCCCACACATGAGTTTTTGCTTCAGCAACCACCAAACCCACTTTCCGCTACAATTGCAAAATCGAATTGCAGCCTAGGGGCGCTCTGGTGCCAAGTGCACTTATGAACACCATGTATTCGTTAGACTTAAGCTATTACATTTTTTCGTTTTTGTTAGTTTTTAGTTGTTTTTATTTCAACCAAAGTGCAATCTCAGCAATGATTCAGGCTTACATTTCACTGCATGTTCTACATGTATAACTATGCATGTGACAAAACTTCCTGGGCTTGATGAACTCGATAGACTTAATGCAGCTAGCTAGTCATTGGGCTACAGAATGCCTGATACGGAGGCCCTTCAATGTCTTTTTAGACAGTGAAATTTTGAATGGTAAGAACATGGTTTCGCTAAACTTAAAGTCTGGCATCTCTCCAATCCAACAACTTATCCAGGACATGATCACAAAAAGCCTGAACCCTGTTCCAAAAAGCAGGGCGCACAAGGTAGAGAAAGCTTTGGATACATGCACAAACACACACCAGGTAATTTAGAGATGCCTGGTTAATGTGGGAAGAAACTGGAGTACCTGGAAGACAGTCAAACACACAGAAGAGGGATGGAATTCGAGCCCTCATCCCTGAAGGTGTGCACTGGCAGCACTCCCTACATAGGATGCATCAAGATATATTCACAGGGCTGATAGTGGAAAAAATTCCTGAGCCTGAACTTTTTTTCCTTGCCCCCGA